CGAATCGGGACGTAGCTACTACGAAAGCCCGGTAATCAGCATTCAGAATGGATTTTTGGGTGTGAAACCACAGCTAAAAGCTTGTTGCGAATAGTTAATTTATATTCTAACAGTTACTTTTGATTAATTTCTATATTTATTGAAAGCAAATTGGTTAGGTATCTTCCTAAATTCAAGAGATAGCTACCATACGCGATTTTATCCCTTTCTTTTCTTAAGCACTTCTGTGTTGCTGAACACCTCTCCAGCTAATCCTTTAGCATGTACGTGAACATTGTGTTTATCCATCTTTATTTAACATACGCGCGTATTATCATAGCCGGTTTCCGAATTGAGAAAAGTACAGAAACTTAACTGTTTATTCTCCACAATTTAAGTTTTTTACATTTCACAAGACACGAAAAGTCCTAATTTTATCAAAAAAATTGATTTAAAAAAAACAAACAAAATCAGAAACGAAAACTTGTTTAAGTAGCGTTTAAGATGTGCTTATCTTTAAATTCTCAATTCCGGGTGTGTCTCCAGGAGTCCAAACATCCCTTGTTTGGGAGTCACAGCAACATAATCTACAAAGTAGAGTAAGGTGGGTATAGTGTTACAAAAAAACTGGGGTACTCTGATACAGGGCAAGTTCTTTAATTTTCGAAAATAATAAATAATCTTTTCATATGCTGCCTTCCGAAGGTTTATCCCACTTTCAGTTACTTCTCTCATATTTATTTCAGTATGGAAATCGTGATTCGTCTTTCTATAGAAATTGTTCACTTAGGTACTCATGCTCTAGTATGAGGTGGACTTAACGTGGATGAACTACCGTCTTGTCTCGCGCTGTATTTAGCTGCAGCATTACTACTCTTTCGGGTGTACATTTTACAACAGTTATTTATGAAGAATAAGAATGGTTCTTTAACCTATTTTTACGGCAGTATTTACAGTTTCAGAGAAAAATGGCAAGACTTGATTTTTTTTACTTTTGACATTTTTTTTTGCAGTTGACATTTCGTGAGTGGTGATTTTAAGATCTATGCGTATTTTGTCTAACCTAAATTTTAATTTGACTGGACTACTAATTGGTTTCATCTATATCGAATGCATGTAGAATAAAAAAATTATGATGATATGATACCTTTACAAATGCAGAAATGAAATAATGCAAAGTTTATTAAAAAGTATTTATTCTTGGCATGATTATCATAATTATCAGAACACACACTTTAAAAAGGAACCGTTGTTGAAAATATCAACTGTAGTAATGTCATCCAGATATCAACAAATCAGACGTATACATCAGGTAAACTATAATCTACTGTAGTATCACAATCCAATATTATGGCACTCTTATGCTTATAGTCAAAGGATATTTCAAAAGCGTCGCGATCATCAGTCAATTTATCAAAGAAATAACTCGTATTGACTTTAGAATACGATACATTATCGATCATATTATTAGTATAGTCTTTATCTATGTTTTTTATTGGACTTTGTTTAGGCGTAGAACAAGAATTCTGAATATTATTTAATACACTTTTCCGTAACACTGTTTTCTTTGGCGTATTTCTAGCTTCGAATACAAGATTTATCACGTTATTATTAACTTTAATTGTGTTGACTTCTGGTGCCCTTTTTACGATATCATCTATAATATTTGATAATTCACTGTCGTTAAAATCTGCTTCACTGTCATTTAACATGGTAAGTGAGAATAAATTCTCTTTATTGTCATTTGATTTTAAAACAGGTTCCGTAGATAACACATCGTCAAAAGCATTGTCGTAATCATCAGATATCTTTTTAAAGCTGCAAGCTAACTCATTCAAAGATTTCTTTAAAGATATTCGACGTTTCTTTGCTATAAAACTATCAATACTTTTCTGCTTGCCCTTTTTCGAATTGTTCTTTAATTTTCTCTTCAATCTATTGATACTTACACTAACGTTAGCTTTGCTAGTATTCAAATCCGGAACTTTATCTGTCAAATCCAGTTTTTTAAGTGATCCACTAAGATTAGCGATATCAGCGTCAATAAGTTTTTTAACTTTCTTATTATATTTACGATTCGGTTTATCTGGATTTTCGTTTTCTTTCTTCTTTTTCGATCTTACTTTCTTTTCCTTTTGTGGTTTCTTTATAGATTCTTCGTAAGCATCAACAACTTCTGGAAAATATTTTCTCATGAGATCTTGTCTCTCTGTCGTTGTCCAACATGTTGATGGGTCTTCATCTTCTACAAAAATAAAATTATACAAATAAACTTAATTGCCCCTCATTTTAAAAACCAAGAAAAGCATTTTGTTGGAGATTAAAATGTTCTATAAAACCTTTATGACGACAGCAAAGTGTTTTAGCAAATATTATGCTAATCATTTATACAAATTTGAATAAAGATTTTTGAATAACTGACGAACGAACGTTGACAATTTCAATGTGATAGTTCAATTCCTTGTATGTTAATGTACAAAAATGTTGTCTCTGCTCTCTATATTATTGTTATTGATTTCCAAAATACAAGTGCTTTATCGGCTTAATTTGGAATCTGAGCAATATATGTGATATCGTAAAATATAAAAAAAACGTTCTTTAATATATAGCTCAAGAAGATGTCTTATAAATTATTAGAAATCAATAGTAGTGTGGACTTTTTAATATAAAAACAATACTAATTTGTATATAAGAAACAAAATTACATATAAAAATATACCTTCCAATTGATCATCAGGAATCAAACCTTCATACTGTCCATCAATATCACCCCATTGAACTTCAAAACTGGGCACTCCTGTAACCATACAACGCCAAATTGAAATTACCTTTACAAATTTCATGACAAAAATACAATTTTACAAGTTAACAGTCATAAGTTTCTCTGAATAATGCGAAATAAAAACCTCTAGGATTTCTTTTCTTCTTTATTGTTATAGGTTTGATCGTTCTGCACGGCACATCATCTTGAAGATGCCACTTGGTAAGCAAAGGTAGAAATTTCACCACACAATATTTCTCGGACCAATCTAATTTTCTGGTCATTATTTTCTGCAATGAAGAGTTAATCTTATAGCATCATCTGTTGATAAATACAGCACGTCCAGTTAGACAAAACTGTAAATTTTTTTATTCTATAATAAAATATAGAAATTTGAACTAATATGGTAACTCAACGTGTAGCTGTGCGTGAGTACAATGGGTGCCACATATTTGAGTACAGTCAAGATATCAAACTCACTGACGTATAGTAAATAGAAGTCATATTTTCCCACCCGATTTTAAACCGGATTATTAAAGGTAGATGACAATATCCATTCTTTTTGACATATAGTGTTCAGGTGACATAAAGTCGTGTTAACATATGCAGATTGCTTTTCAAAGCGTAGCAAATATCAGCCTATCAGAATTATTCAAGTATCACGCCATCGAGCCATCCACTAATATCAACTATACATGTATTAGTCAGAAACGCTAAAATCCGATTCCATATAAAAAAAATATCCGTGAAGAATAAGACATTTTCGATAGCGACTATACCGATGCAAAAAAAAAACGATAAGAACGCGTATTACTCGAACGACGACTGAAACGTCACACAAATGAAAGCTGTTTCATTACAAGCACACACAAACATAGCGCGCACAAATGACTTAAACTATCTATACTTAAGTTAGTTCTCGTTTTATAATAAAGCGGAGAGAGCAGTGGCGGAATAACCTCATCGGAAACCCGGGGCGGCAATAGGTCCGGATTGACAACTTTTTCCAAACCAGGCAGAATTTATATATTGCTTTTAACCATATAAAAATCTTAATAACATTTAAATATATAATGTTATTATGATTTTGGCGGATGACTGCAGCCATTCGGAGGCCCTCTAGGACTGGAGGCGGAGCGGACCGCCCCCTCCGCCCTCCCTTAGTCCGCCACTAGGAGAGAGTTTAAAGGACTATAAACTTTTATAAAATATATATATATATATATATATCTTACCATAAACTGTATGAGACTCGGAGTAGGCGTTTTCATTTTATCCAAGTCTAAATTTTCGGGGGTTGTTTTTAAAAACTCCTTCATAATCTTAGGTTCGGGGAACGGCATACCGCATGACAATGCGCGATTACGCAGTGATAATTCCCGCTTCGCCTCTGTTAACTTTGTTCTGTTACAAAGTAAAAATGTGTGTTCATAAGGTTGTTTACTCACTAAAACCAATCTACTATAATAAAAAATCTTCTTAAAAAGATTATTATAATATATCAGATTTTATAAGAGATAAGAATGCTTAGACTTAAGGTATCCAACCCAGCAGTTAAGTAGATTAGATTTATTTCTAAAATTATCATATATCCAGTGGCGTAAACGGTATAAGTTTGAAGCCCGTGGCGAATTCATCGGATATTCAATTTTTTATTGTACTAATATATGTCAAGAGTAAGTCTCCTCTGACCGGGGGCCCCTTCCAGCTGGGGGCAGTTTGCCGACTTGCCACCCTGTAGTTACGCCACTGCATATATCCTAAGTATTTTGTTATCACTGTAAGATCATAGATCAAGAAAGAACAAAGCTTAGTTTAACTAAAAACGCTTATCTTAAGAATCGCCTAAGCAGAATAGTTTAATTCCATATAAACATTTTTCTTTTATCCCTCGACACATTTGTGACCTATCAATAAGCATTTCTTCTTTGTGACCTGTCATATTACGGATATGCTTAGCGCGACGCATAACGCATGACATAACATAAGACATTAATGTAGTTAAGTGGTGTCTAGTTAACTGGTGAAATTCATTTCACTTTAAGAGAGTCCTAGATATTTAGGCGTCAGATTTAAGCTACTCCTACGTTCACGATCATAATATAAACGACCAACACCTTCCCTCTAAAACCATCGCATCAACTTTTATGTAACGTAGTGCTTAGTATTTGTTTTTGCCTAGTATTTCTAGAATAAATTGCTAATAAGTATTTAAACAGGAATTTCTACAAATTATTTACATAGATAATTTAACTGAGTAGCTGAGTGACGTAGTGGATAAGCGCCGCGGCCCGCGATCATTTTTGTTAAGCCACTTCGCAAGTGTCGGTCACGGGATGGGTGACCAAAAAATTATTATCTCGAGCTACTCCGTACTTCGGGAGGCACGTAAAGCCGTTGGTCCCACCTGAGTAGAGCCAGCGTAGATGGTCAAGACCCATCATCCTTAACCATCCATAAGCAAGGCCTGCAGGCCAATGTTTACGTAATACTCGCATCTCAAAGAAATCTCAACTACTTGCATTTTGACGTTGTACTGTCCGAAGCTGAAATCCAATCTATATATATAAAAGCAAAAGGTCACTCACTCATCACGAAATCTCAGAAACTACAAGTGCTAGGTGTTTCAAATTTTGCATGCAGGTTCGTTTTAGGACGTAGGTGCTCACTAAGATTTTATGAAATTCAACCCCTAATGTGTAAATTTGGGGATGAAAATTTTTATGAAATTTTCTCATTTCTGAACTAAAAACTAGATCACGCGGGCGAAGCCGCTGGCGGAAGGCTAGTATTATTATATATCTGTCACCATTAATATGTGAGGAAGACATGCACTAATCATATTGGACTTTAGATAGATAATACAATGGTAAAATACAAGTAGTTGAGATTATTGAAATGCGATTATAACGTACACATTAGAATTGGCTGCTGAGCTCCTGCAATGGTAACGTAAAAGGCTGATGATGGTTTAAATAAATAAAACTAATCGTATACATCATTTCTAAAATCATAGTTCAAATTAATTTAACTAATTAAAATACCAACTTGTGTCCCAAATCATTACACCCCTTATGTGTGGCACACACTGGGCAACCATTTCTGACGTGCGTCCTACCGACATGACCGCAGCGGTCGCATCGACCGGGCGCGTTACACCAACGTGCCAACTCTTCATACCGTTGCGTATCACTGACCCAAGATATCAACCTTGTGGGACGATTTATAAACTATTATTGGTAATAATAATAATTGATGAAAATAACTAACAACTACGAGCACTTTAAACGGAAACGGAATTTTTGGCGCGCTTGTCGTGACGTCAAAGTAAACGACTAGAGATGTGACATTTAAAATCATTATGGATTTTGAGTGATTGATTATTATTCAATTACCAAAATCGATTATCAACTAATCGATTTATTAAAGTATAATAGACTTTTTTAATAATCATGTAGTTTACCAAATTACTTTTAAATAAAAATAAAAGCTTAAAACATAATTAAAATTACAATCGCTTGTTTATTTTGCGCCATAATACATTGATGTTAACTTTTTGTATAAACAACATCTATTTCCATCACATCCGCTCTGACAAGTAGCATTTGAATATTTTAAAGTTACCGCATTTTTTATAATTATTTTGAAGACGAACTAATGTTGAAAATTATTTACATAGACTTTAACCTAAAGCAATAATGATCATAATAAATTATATTTAGCCCTTTTTTTAATCAGACGCATATTCCCTATTGAGAAAAGTACAAAATCGCAACTAATTACTCTCAATAACTTAAGTTCTTATGTTTCACAAGACAATAAACTGCTATTAACTGAACATCAAAAAACTAAAATCAGAAATGAAAACTACTTAAGTGACTATTTAAGTGACGTTTTAGTACAGTTTAAGACGTTATTAACTTTAAATTCTAAATTCAGAAACCGGGTTATAGGCTTTAATTTATGCGAGCGATGTCACGGGAAAACAGTACATATTCAATGATAAAATCACCGGAAAATCAAGTTGTTAAAATGTGTACAAACGGATTCTCTTACTATAATTTTCATCTATACAAATATTATAAAGAGGAAAGAATTCTTTTTTAACACTAGACGTAGACATTAGAAAAAAATAACTTTTTTTTAAAATATTACCTTGGTATTATTTCATTATCAGATATCGTATGCAAAAAAGAAACGACAGTGTTGATTGAACTGCCGCACGCTCCTACACCATAATCACAGCCGCAAAGCATCGCTAGAGCGACCATTTTGTTCCGACCAAATCCTGCAGGCAAAAATGACTGATCTGTCACAAAAATTCACGCATCCATAGTTAGGGCTGTTTAATGTGAGGAATGAGTATCCTGGTGACGGCTTCTCCCACAGGAAGGTGCGCTGTAGGGTTTTTGGTGGGAAGACGGGCTAGGGTAGGATATTGCTTAGTTCCCGGAGAATCTCCTACCCTAGGAGGAGATTTCGTATCTTTGATGGGGGCCAGTCTAGCGGGTTTTAGCACCTGCCGGACATTGCACGCCAACTATCTTGTCTGGGGGGTGAGCCTCAAATGTTCCTAAGGTTGAGGAAAGTCCCATAGGCCCCCTGTTGTTTGCCAGGTGACAGGGACAATGCCAAAACCATTTCTTAGACATCAACAAAACAAAGGGGTGCTTAATGTATAATATCCAACAAACTAGCGGCAACGGAGCGCAGCGCATCGTGAACCTTCGATGTTCCTCTATTAGGTATTTCCACGCGGCTCGCCCCCATTTCGGTCTCCTTGAAAGGATTCCTAATCCCAGACAGAACGAGGAAGCGCCATGTCCGCCTCAAAACTAGTAGACGTATGCTAGAACGAACGATAACAATGGAATGATTTTTTTATTTGTCAGTCAAGTACATTATTGAAGCATATTAAATACGTATTATTTATTTTTTAGAGTAGCTCAGTGGCGTAGCGGATAAGCGCCGCGGCCCGCGATCTTTGTCGTTAAGCAACTTTCGCAAGGGTCGGTCACGGGATGGGTGACCAAAAAATTATAATCTCGTGCTACTCCGTGCTTCGGAAGACACGTTAAGCCGTTGGTCCCGGTTGCATTTGCAGTCGTTAATACCCTCCAATCCGCATTGGGCCAGCGTGGAGGGTCATGGCCCATCCTCCTTAACCATCCATAAGGAAGGCCTGAGCCCCTGCAGTGGGGACGTAAAAGAGCTGATGATGATGATGATTTATTTTTTGCCTTATCATAGCAAGCCCCCACTCCTCAACTGAAATGCTTATTATCTAAGCAATTTATTGTTACATTGACACATATAAAAATATCAATGGAAATGTATATCCATTGTCACATTTCTATGTTTATAATTTTTAGCAGTAATATAATTTATATAAAACTAAACTATAAATAAATCTATAATAATTTATATAAAACTAAACTATAAATAAAAAAATATTTAATTACAGAAATATAATAGAATAAAGTAGTATCACAAAATAAATATTATGTATCCAGATCAAAATATTCTACTTAATTATTTTAACGAATTAAATAACCTATAAAAATAATGGGAAAGCAAAATCGAAATTGAAGATGATATAAAAAATAACAGGTAAAAAAAAAGTAAAAACAAAAACTTCTCTTGTTGTATTGGAACATGAACTTTTTTTTTACTAGAATCCTGGAATGTTTCATCAATATCAGGATTTTATGTGAAAATGTCACTCTAACTTTCGGTCGCCCCTTCACGTTTCTAATATTATACTATTATCTGACTGATGGACTAAATAGAATTTCATTTTTTTACTCAGGCATTATCCCTATTGTATAGAAGTCTGAATTTCCTGTATTAAACACAGTGTAAAATGCACTCCGCCGCTTCCTGGTTGGTAGAGATCGTACATTAGTATTGACATATCTAGGCGCCCCTTAAATTTGTCCACCATTAAATTTCTGAGGGGGGCCAAAATATATGATATTCATTATATTTGCAGTACCAAAATAAGCCAGAGCGGAGCCTGTAGCAAATTTTTTAAACACACTCTCTTTGCTTTCCGGATAACACAAAATACGAGTATAGTCAGATATTATATTTCTTGTTATTATTAAAAATTGCACGAATTTGTTAAGAAAATTACTTTATTGGCTCTCACTCCAAACGCGCTACGAGGCTAATCCGGCCCTGTATGTTTGTATAATGTTGGGTCCTTTACTATTACACGGTATACTTTCCTCGGATCTCTCTGTCACTCACTTTCCCACGCGTTAAAATTTTAATTTTTAAAATTCGCAAACCCGTATTAGGACCGAATTTTTTGCAGACTACCCTATATCAATGTGTTCGTAATGAAACAGCGCTTATGTTAATATATTTTTTTTTTATTATCAAATCAAGTGAAATAGACTGGCATCGATATACCTGTTTATACCTGACAACCCAGTAGTTCGTCCAGGTAAATAATAGACAACCCAACGTCTGCACATTCTATATGTTTTATACTTTAAGTCAGAATTAAATTTGCTTATAATTAAAATATAAAAAATATACTGTCCAGGATTTTTTTAGCGAACCCATTTTTAATATATTTTCTAATATACTTAATTAATTATATAATAAGTTTTATTCCATTATCAACCCGGTGAAGGTCGATTTAGGTTCGGATCTTAGACTATATTAATATTTTACAGAACATTAAAGGTGTGATGAAAATATCAACATTGCTATTCATATAAATATACAATATCAAATAAAAATGCTAGTATATTTGAACTGATTGCCGATATTTCACAGTAATAAAGTTTCTAACTTTTGTTTGTGTATTTGTTTGATTGGGCGTATTCTTCGTTAATACTGATTTAATCATAATAATCTTTCACTTACGCGAAGCTACATCATACGCGGATGATATAAGCTTCAATTGCGCGAGTTAAATCGCGCGCGAGCAGTCAATAACAGTATAAACAGTACGTTGCACAAACGTCCAGTAAAATTATCATTAGTTTAAAGCGACTCTACCCAAACAAAATTGACATTCATTAGAGCTTAAAAACGTCATTAAACCTTAATGGACGTTAGTGAAACTTACCAAAAATCAACTAATCTAAGTGAAACAGTCTAAACTAGTAACTTTTCATATCTCACCAATTGCCGCGAACATTTGTTGGGCGTCATAGCAGTCAACAGACCCTTGCATGGCGCCGCCGCCCGCTGCGTTCGAAACGCTAAAGTTCCGGTAAACACGACGAGCGCCGTAAGCGAAGCAATCCGAATCCTGTGATATCACAGCATCCACCAGCTGTATGGAAATTGTTACAATCACTAATATTCCTACTACTGAGCAAATAGACCATCCACAAAAGAGGCGGTTTCTTAATTCTCATGACGTAACATTTTAATATCTAACATATCCAAGTATTAAAACGAGACACTTCTACTTATTTTGTTTAACGTTTGTGATGGCACACTAAAGAGTCAATATGAGCAGCATATATCAGCATATTATGGATGGCTTCTTAAAGTAAATTCTTTCAAATTGCTCAATACTTTTCATATTAAAGTAAATGAAAACAATAATGGGTACAAGAAAATCCAGAACATTACAAGGGCGTTCCACTGTTATAGACACGATGGGCGTAACCACAACCCTAATAGTATTGACGTCACATTTTCATGGTCTACAGTGGTTGATTGCCCATGTGGAATTACCAAAAATAAATTAGTAAAAATCTTCTTTTGAGGAGCGCACTACACACACACTTTAAGCAAGAGTTCATATTCCGACTCACACTCGACCTGTTATCAGGAGGCGGACCTTTTTAAGTCTAGATCCACCACTGTAGTATACACCTCGTAGCTATAATCTATACTATTATTTTTATTCATTCCAATTTTGTTTGTTTGTAGGGTGTTGTTGGTAATCTTCGAAAATACCAATCCGATCATTATATTTCTTTCACTTGGCTAATCATGCGCAAGTGACATAGGCTATATATTGCGCAGACGAAGCCACGGAAGAACAGCTAGTTATATTATAATTCAGTGTATGTACACAGATAATTATTCCACTATTAAACATCGTTTGGACACTATTTGTCTAACATTATTATACCTAAGGCTGATTCGAATTAACAATAACTTTTATATTTGTGCATAAAGCATTAATTAAATATTTTCAATAAAATACAAACACCTTGAGCATTCAGTTGAGCGCATGTTGCTTCTGCTTCACCTCTTCCTTTGATGCATCTTACTCCCATGGATTTGAGAAGATTCTCACACTAAAAGAACCGTTGTATAATCTACATATTTTTAACAGAAACAAAAAGAAATATCAATACAAGCAGTGAAAGTAAAATATGTCTACTATATTATTGTTGAACATCCAACAATATGTCATTTAACAATTTAAACAAAAACTGATGAGACTTGTGTGTGGTGAACATTAGTTTTCCCTAATATAAAAATGAAATAATTAAATGATGTTATATAACAAATACAAACTTCAATTAGAACATTTCTAAATCTTTTCCTTCCAACATCTGGTTGTTTTGAAATAACGGATTCAGGTCTTGGAGCTGCCCCTCTGAATTGAATAGCATTCCTGACAGCCATAACATCTCTCTTCAACTCTGGTGCATCTCCTTCAAGTACAAATATAGGAGTTATATCTGCTAGCAACAAGTAGATTGTCCGAAAAAACAAATTTCTGAAAGATATAAAAAGTTTTAGTACTACATATTTCGCAGTCAACTTGTTAAAATAGCCGTTCAATTGGTCAGATATCTATTTAATTGAATAGAGCCATTCAATTGCATAGTTTTTTTTATTGAATCATTATGACATTTGGGCCGTTCAAATAGACGACTGATTAAAAAGACGCCAAAACGATCTCTGTTAAAAAAAATTACCTCAAAATATAAGAGGTGACCTACAGGACCAAAAAAAACTTCGTTGTTTATCATTTTATGTTGTTATTAATTTTTGTAGCACCAAATCTCGATACTAAACAATGACAGTCAAATAGATTGCTCATTTCGATGGGCCATGACCGTCTAAATCGCGGTATATCTTGCCTTTGTATAATTGTTTTAGTATTAAGAATTTATTATGAAAGTTTAAGCTTAACCCACTTGCGTAATGAATGGGTCTGTACGTTATCTTCTTGTATTGGATCATACCACTAATACCCAGTCGCAAATAAGCAGTTTGTTTTATCTTTTTGATCAGTCCTGTATCTATATTAATTATAAATTGTTACAAGGAGTTTTTGAGTGTTAAATAAAATCACCAACTACAATATTCATTTTGATTTACTTTCAATCCTCCCAGTAAACTTCGGTACTGCCGATGAATTGACAGTTAATTAGTTGGCTGACCTTTGTTCAGCCGTATTATAGAACAAGGCGTTCTGCTACTAGGCTGACCAGTAATCAAAGTCAGCCTGTTAATTAAATGACATTTGGTTGGCTGATTATACTATTTGGCTGCGATATATAAATGAAAAATTTTTGTATTTTTTAAACAACTAGCTACTCAGAAACTAAGGAAAAGAAAATTATATTGTGGTACATATCAAACGAAAGAACATATTGGATGTTATGTTTCAAAGGTACAGTTTAGAAATTAACTAAATAAACATTTCATAATGAAAAATGCGAATTAAGAATATTTTTCTGTATAGCATTGTAAATACAAAATTGATTAAATATTATAAGTAAACATTTCTTTAAGAGATTCCAATTTTTTTTTACAAAAAGTACGGTTTCTAACAATTTTAGAATTGTTAGTATGAGAAATATATAAACCTCCTGAATTGTAGATAATTTAATCTATAATTTGAGAGGTGTAAGGAAAATTTCTTTTTACCTCCTCCTTTTGTTTGCACTTGATTGATATGATATCAGTCATTGTGTGCAGCCAGTTTTCATTACTTCATGTTATATTATTTATTTTTCAAATTATATATAATAGACCCAGTTGCTCAAATGTCCACTAAAATTGTCATTAGTTTCATGCAACAAATCCAGTATAAATTTTCATATAGACACTGAAAAAACAAACACATAGTAACCCGCTAAACCAAAACTGTTCTTCAGAGCAGAATAATTTTTATTATTTTCAAAAAATAATTCTTATGAATGTAGATGTAATGGTAAGGACCAATAAATAAGGTATTGCTAAGTTGATTTATATGGAAATAAGATTTTTTTTTTATGTATAAATATTTTCTACTCTAAATATCTATTTTGGTGTTCAAGTGTGTTTGCTCTCCAGCACTGATATTTAGAATATTATTTAGAATAAAAAAATCATTACTAAACCTTAAATATCATTTGCGCAACCATGTGATAATCGGTTTGCAATTTGAATACAAAATAATTAAGAATAAAATGTAAGTTCTACCAAAAAAAATTAGTTAATATCCTGTAGAGGTATAAAAAAGAAACTAAAAATAACTCACCGTAGGTACAATTTAGGTTGCACAAAGTAATCAGTTACATTTTGACTATCACAAACCCACCCTGACAAATCTACGGCAACAGTTTCACCTCGGATCTAAATACAAAAAAAATACAATTTACTTCATACAATATTACACACATAAATCTTGTGAATTTAAATATAAACAAGAGACGACCCTAATCACTAAAAGAAATTTCGTCTAGGCAATCTGCAATGGAGTTAAATCTGTTAATAATAATTGTTCATATCATATCCTATTATTAAATTAATTTCATGTCATGCAAAAGAATAAACTAAAAGCCAGAATAGAAGAAATCAGATGTTCATATCGCTCACTGAATAGTACAGTGCCACAACTCAAAAACCATAATTTTGAGAAATGCTCTCCGAAGTTATGAAAATCTAATATATTTATAATTATGAAAAACAATTTTTCTAGCATAACAGTTAAATTGTTTGTATTATATTATTACTGTTTTTTATTTTTTCTTTAAATTATCTATGCCACCACAATAATGTGGCGTTTTCTCGAAATAATGGTTTTTGAGTTGTGCCACTGTACTATTCAGTGAGCAATATGTATTGGACAGTTTTAGCATGAAAGTAAAGGAACATAAAGTCTGATAATAGACTCTGCATGAAATTTTATAATGATTGCACTACTTTATTTTTATTTGCACAAACCCAAGGTTCGCTGATAAATATCAACAGATATATATCTTTAAGATTGATGAATTAATATATATCAATTTATATTTAAATATTTACTGTTAGATTAAATATTGAGTCTTAGCTAGAAAATTTATTTCATTTTGTTTATAACAAATAAAAAAATATTGAATTAAGCCACTAGCAGCTCTAAAATCGCAACTTTTCATATGCATGATATATATCAGATAAATATCGGATATTTTGATACTTATTATAAATATCGGGTTTTTGCGGACCCTGCACAAACCTCATACAAAGATTTTTTTTCACTAAAAGGAGTTAAAACAGTCCATAATCCCTTAACTCCCATGATTAGTATAGTAAATGATAATTCATAGATACTTTAATTTTCTTCCAAAATTCAAAAAACAATCGTTCAAAATTGAAAAGCAAAATAAAAACACTCTAACGTCATTGTCAATGTCAATGTTAACGTTATGATGATACTATTACGGTAAACCGAAAACCGATAAAAAATTGGTTTCCCAAATCAATCAATCATAAATAAAAATATTGATAATATAGCGATTTATCGACACTGTGCAATAGTATTTTGATATAAACTAAAACTGATTTGAATTGATTTTGATTTATCGGCATTTTTAGAAACTAATATAACATTTCTAGAAAAAAAACTCAGTTCAATGCACAGACTTAGTAGGTATCAGACGACCAACTTCCTAACAAAAAATTTCTTCGTAGAACGTGATTGGGAGCCAGTGATACATGACAGCTTCATTCGTTTTAAATATATAGATTTACTATGGGCAAAGGCATTTAGCTATACAGCCCTATTTTGGGTAGGTACCTAGCCGTCTTCCTAGTTTCCACATTATTTTTACTTTAATTTAAATTACTTTTTTGTTTTAATACAACAATAACAATAAAGCAGACTGATAAGTCTAGCCTAGCGTATTATTATTGTTGTATTAAAACAAAAAAGGAAAAACGAACACGTAAATGAAACACACATTTTTCCAATATTATTTATTGAATAATTTATTTTTTAACTTATTATATTTTTCACAGCTTTTTTCTGCATTCTCGGCAATTCTTAGCTACGTTTTTTTAGTGGCACAACCTTATGAAACTTTTCAAGGTAATCACATTTTTTTTTAAAGAGGGCACTGATATTTGCATACCTTTTTATATACATATTTAAGGTTTCATTTCAGTTGCCTTTGTTTTTAAGTGTAAACTATATTAACTACTTGTTACATAATTAAAAATACAGGTCATTGAATCAACACTTGCTTGAATATAGAAGCTGAATACAAATTATTTCTTTTATTTATACTAACTAATAACTATTTGAAGTTATATACTAACTAATTGAAGTTATACTAATATAATAACCAATGCATTACCTTCATCATTTTATCAGGTATAACTCATTGGTCATTTAATTTATGACATAGCCCAGCTTCAGTGTGCTGACAATCTGTCTCATAGACATAAATAATATCATGTCATTTTGCAAGTTTACTATCCAATATTAAATTTTTTGTTAATAAATTGTTCCTGATACATTTTATCAAGTGTGTTGAATCATAATGTTCAAATCCACCCCACATATTTTAAGAATGCCAACTGAAACAAAAATTTAAGAACTTCTTAAAACATAGATAACAATATAAAAATAAGAACCTTCACTACTTTCATTAAATCTATTAGTTTTCTTTCATATAAATATAATCCTCTGTACCAACCTGTGATTTCAATTTAAAATTTGATTACACTAAGTGTCTTCTTTTAGATTTTTGAGTGCTGATTGGAAAGCTGAGCCTTGGTCATATATTATTGCGATGGGATTAAGGTCCAATTCAACAACTTTTTCTACTACTAACTTTAAAATATTCTTGATGTACAGTAGATGTCGCTCCTTGACAGAAATACTAACATAAAGGCTGTTGCCACTTGTAAATAGCACCAACATAAATACAAGAGTATGATCTGCAAAATCCACTTTCTTTTCTTGGTGTTCTACAAATCCATTAATATTATCTTTAATCCTTATTACTTTTATTATACGAAAGTGCTTTTTCTAATGACATCTCATCAAATATGATGGAGCATATTTTTTTGGAGTTTCATTTGTCCACCTGAAAAAGTAAATTCAAATAGGTAGGTACATATTATTATTTGGTAGTAATACAAAAAATTATAAAAGTAGTATGAAAAACCTTATATGGAATATATTTACCTCTGACATGAAGCCTGGTTCTATGATCAATTTTCTAATCATAGTATTTAGTGTAGTTTTGGATGATAAAATAAAAAATTTTGCTTAAAAATCAATAACACTTTGGACTCTGCTTTGATATTGATAAAGCAATTATCTTTTCTTCGGTAGTGAATCACCTCTCATGTTTATTTTTAGAGCACATGCTCACTTGAATTTCAAAAACATTTTTGCAACTGTGTTCATTTTTTGTCAGAACTTTTCAAATGGTAACTTTTTACAATACTTAAAGGTATTTAAGTATTCTTAACTTTATGATAAAAGTTCAACTACATATTTGGCTTGTTATATTCTTCATAAATTCTCTGGTATAAAGGTGACAATTGGCTTTATTTGGTAATAAGCCTTTTCCTTTTTGTTTGGGTACATTTCACAGGGTCTGTAACATCAAAAGTATTCAGTGAATTTCTCTATTAGAACTTCTATTTGATTGAAATAAAGATACACTAAAGAAAGAGACAGGTCTTACCAGATAATTTAGTTTGTGTCATATTTTAATCTCCAGAGCAAGCAACTAATTGTATAAACTCAGTGGCTGCAGACACAGGAGTCTCAATTTGTTCTTTTAAAATTACACCACCTATGAAATCAATATTGATTATGTGTGTAAGATTAAAAAACAGGATATAATCTTAGACGATATTAGAAATATGTTATTTATATTATCAATTTATTCTCTGATCAAAATCACTTCTAGCGTGCCCGCTAGAGTTAAGTAACTTAATGTAATTTGTCTTTATGTGTGTAAGAAAGAGAGATCTACTAGACTTTTTTAAAGCAAAAATCTATATTAAAATACACCAAAACTGCTGCATGAACTTTGTTATCTAAATAAAATAAATTAAAAACAAACCTCTGTTCAGTTCCACTTTCTAATATGTGTGGTCAACATGACTTTTTCTTGCATAGCTGTGTTCCCAAGTGAATATAATTTCTGTAATAAAAAAAAATCTAATGAAGAATAGAGGTATTCCAAAACACAACATAAAGTGAAGATACATATCATTTTAATTACATTATCTAAAGGCAATAGCAGATTAAACCAGCCTTACCAGTATTGCTTGAAGAGGGTAGGCTGATTGAGAGCCCATCATCAATAAACAATGACGGATATGCATCACCCAAGAGTCATGATTTTGGAGTGATGAATCTTGGTACAACGTGTTTGCTACAAATGACACTTCTGCCTGGATTAAAATTTTCAGTATCACACACAGCACTAAGGCATTGTAACCACTTGCGAGAATCTTTTCTCGTTCACTAGAATCTTATAAAGAATAGCGTCCTGTTCGTACTTTAACAATGCGTGTAATACAACCATAACACACCAATTTGTTAGGCATCTTCTACAAATAAAAATACTTCGAAAAATGGAGAGTTTATATTACAAATAAAGCGAAGACGGTAAGCACAAAATAGACTTTACTCAATCACTTGTAATTCCCTGATATGTACGTACATACTTTAGTCTTCTTCTTCTTTTATTAATGGCATATCTGCGCATTTCACACAATTTTGCCAATGTGAAATGAATAAATTAATTCCAACATGTAAAATGAATTAAAGATTGATTAAAACATTAGGTACTATCTTTACTCTTTGTTGTAATGACAGTTTCTGTCAGGTGTCATGTCTCCATTGGTCTCCATCTACTGACAGGGGTGAGGGGCGTGAGGAAATGTCATACATCACTGGACCCCTACGCGATTGGTTTATTGTATGGAGTTGACGGGCCGTGGTTCAATGTTCGTTGTTTTTTTTTTATTTGAGTAAAATATAGCATAGATAGAGTTTGGACCAGAGGTATTCAAAACAACTAAAAATTATTAACGTGGTATAGAACAATGATATATTTTTAACGTGTTAATGAACGCGCTAATTAATGATGCGTGAACACTCGTTAAATTTTCAAGCATGTTATACTTTATAACACGTTAATTATTTTATGTTGTACGTTAAATAGATCGTGTGCTATATTAGACAATAACTCATTATTATTTATTCTAAATAGTTCGAAATAAATTATAGCAGTACTTGCTAAATTAAAAGAAAATCGATAAACTCCCTTTCATTGTTTTCAGGGTTAGGACTGTCTATAATTCAAGTATTTGAAAGATCGACTTAGTAAGCTTTGTTAAAACACAGGAGGTACTCATATATAATATCACGCGTAATAATTACTTACTTAGCATGCTCTGAGTATTACCAATGACACGTGGACAAACTGCGCGGCCGACCGCAGTCTAATTTCGTTCGTTCGTTTGGTTATTGAATCGTTTTGGAATTTCACGCGTGAATCGTGTTAGCGCGTGAAATTCTTAGCGCCTTCGCGTATACTCGTACCTACTTAGCAGTGTTAATCATTAAGAGAGAAGAGCGTATTAATTAACACGCTGGATGCTAATTTAATCACCACTGGTCCGGACAAAAGAGTCTTTCCATTAAAAACTTTTCTCTGGAGTTTTAGTCTCGTCGTAAATTATAGACACAAAAAGAAGTTCATAAATAAAGAGCTGAATCTTTATTACATTTTTCCAAAAAACTGTCCACATGGCATAAAAACCATGTGGACGGCTGTTGGGCCAACTCCAACATGGTTTTCGACACCCTTTAGAATAAAAAATATGGTATAAAAATGTAACTAATTTGCATGAGAACGAAGGGATAAAAATTGATTACATTTGGTTTCAAACGTTACAATATTTGCAACAATATACAACAAACAAAAAATATAAATTTTCAACGGTCAATATTATTAATATATTTTGAGGCCACTTACAAAGATTATTAATAGAGATCGATATAGTGACTGAATGTATATTACCATAGGATACCATACTTTATTTGAAACAAGAATAGGTATACCAAAATCTGACGGCATAAATTAAAAATAAACAATTTTGATTTTTTTAAATGCCAATGTAAATAGTCTACTGTCGTCAACTGTCAAGTCAAAGTGTAAATGAGGAAGTAATTTAAGAAAAAAAGAAAGCACTAAAAAAGCTCCTCATCAGACGGCGACTCTATTAAAAGTTGATAAAAAGGCATCGAAATCTCAAGCGAGAAATATTGTTTTAATGTTTATAGCAAAATTTGTGAAAAGAAGCTAAATGTCAACGAATTATTTTGATTTAAATGTGTGTTTATGAATTGACCGGTAACTAGCAATAACGGGTCTTGATACTTTATTTATTGTAAAGAATTAATTCGTCTATATTCGTTAGCGTGTCGACTACTATAATAAAACGAATAAATATTGAAAAAGATGATATCATGACATTTTCTACACCAGGTAAAAATAGAGACCTTGAAGAAAATAAACTAAAACGTATTTAATTTAGACGTGTAAACATAACAGTATTTGCAACATTAGTAGAGATTGGCAATAAGAAAAATATGAAATAAAGCTTCTTTTATTTAGATTCCGAATCAGGTAAAAAAAAAAAATTCTGTGGGGCCAGGTGCTGTCTTGTTAAAATATTAGACATTGGTAATATACAGTTACAGATGTATGTTTGTGCACTATATTATGTCCCAAGCAGATGGCTAATCTAGGTCAAAATTTGCCGAGATTAGAATTTGGTAAGGTGTAATGCCTCATAGCATTGAACTTACATACGTAAATGCTAATGTTATGAGGCAGTTATTGAAAAGTGTTTATTATATTAAAAATATTACAAGTATCAAGATCTTTTTCCCAATTTTACCTTCTAAAAATAAAAACTTCTCGATTTGTTGTTAGATTCTAGTACACCTATAAGGATTCAAATCAGTTTCAAATCAAATTATCGATACGTATATAAAACACTCCCAAATGCGACTTCCTTTTATATGTAGTCCTGTCTAAATTTCACTAAATATAAATCAAACGATTTCACATCTCTATAGATTATAAAAATAAAGTAATATATTTTTATTTTTTAGTTCTTCTAGGTTGGCAGTACTGCCAGTTGGAACTAGTTCCGGCTGTAACGGTGTGCCATGCCACCGATTGTTTTCCTAGGTTTCAGTATGCAAACTTTTTGCTTTTGAAATTCAACATCATTTCATTTTACTATTCGTCTTTCGTAATTTAAAATTTTGACTAATCAATTTTACTCTTTATGGATGTCAGTTCGTAAGAAATTCTCCTATACACAAGATGAAATTATAATATAATACAATATTATTGGTATAAATTTTACTATGTAATTTTAATAATTCATATATTATGGTGATACAATAATATAACATATTTACTAAATTAAAACTGTATTTTGTACGATCCAAAAGTGTAACAAGAAGCCCGACAAGGGGTATGTATTCGTTTATTTGATAAGAATGTATTAGTTTAAGTAACTTACGAACTGACATCCATAAAGAGTAAAATTGATTAGTCAAAATTTTAAATTACGAAAGACGAATAGTAAAATGAAATGATGTTGAATTTCAAAAGCAAAAAGTTTGCATACTGAAACCTAGGAAAACAAACGGTGGCATGGCACACCGTTACACGGCTAAGGTCATCTTGATCGGCACGCTTGGTTGGGAATCAATGTGGATATGTGCACACGCCTCAACCAAGGTCACGCACGAATGAAGTATAAAAAAAAAACATTAGTTCCCGAAATCAAACTAGATGTCGCTATGGTACGTTCTTGATTTCTTCATGACAACCTTTCCGGTTTTCTTTCAAGTTTAAAAGTAAATTAGTTTTCAAAACCCAAAAAACAACTCATATTCTATTTGTATTTTTTCGTATTTGTATTGATATCTAAGTTTTGAACTTTTCAAATTTCATTTTTTAATATGTTAGTTAAAAGGAACGGAAATGACTATCTTTGGTCCATTCGTTTCCTGCAAAAATCAACTTTTGCTAGAGTCGCCATCTAGTGGAGGTGATTTTGAGTGCTTTCGTTTTTTTTTAGTACTTCCTCATTGACCAATATCACTTGTTGGGATCTACCATGTAGATAGGGTTTAACGTATCAAAGACTGATGACATTGACAATGACAATTGACATTAAAAGTCATTTAGAATAATTTGTTTTGGTATTTTTATACCTAATAATTTACATTTTTTTCGAAATCTATTATAAACTTGATAATGCTATAATAATCTTAGTGTAAATTTTCTGATCATTTACATTACCTTCATAGTAAGTCCACTCCAAAGACCATGTTGACTTATTTGCAAACCTAATTAAGTGTTAATCAGCTTACTATGATGAGATTATAATTACGTATATTCAACGTACATATTGATAATGAGTTGTTTTCGTGAAGCGTTATCTTTTAATTGTAACTGAGGGGCCGGACGTAAGACGTAATCATATAGTATAGTAGATAACTGTAGTAAAGCTGGTTCAATATTTCGTTTAAAAGTTTAGTTACTATCATGTCTTATTTATGGCGGTTAAATAAAATATGGTAAGTTTTGTAAATTTCAATACTCTTTTATTTTAAAAGGCAACTTTTTAAAGTCTAATATAATATTAAATTTTAATCTTGCAGCAACAATCGGAGTCTTTTTTACACTATAAGATTGAACCATGCTCAAGCTCTCAGAGAAGATGTCCAAAGACAGCACATTAGTAAAGTGCTTATTGCAAACCGTGGAGAGATAGCATGCAGAGTTATGCGCACTGCCAAGAAACTAGGTATAAGAACTGTAGCTGTGTACTCTGATGCTGACAAACAGGCCATGCATGTTGAAATGGTATAATAATGCACTAAATCTTATTTTCAAGTTAATGACTAACAAGCACTGTTTTGTGTTTCATTAGCCTTAAATATTTCTTCTGATAAATATTATAGAAAAAGGCAAATACTTTATTCAAATAAGCTTACCGACCGACAATGATTATCCTGAAGAAATCAATTTGGATGACAAGATTTAACTTAGCAGGAGTAACAACATTTATATCAATTTTGTCATTACACTTTTAAAAAGTTAAAAAGAATGATAAAATTATCATTTAAAGTATTAATTTCTATGAAAACCTATAAAAAAGTATACAAATGCGGTCAACTTCGATAGGTAATAATTATCTATCACACTTGAGCTCATATGCATACTCAAATTATTAATTAAAGTAATACAGTTTCACAATAATCTTCATAGTTAATGTTGTGTAATTTCAGGCTGACGAAGCATACCACATCGGACCTGCTCCATCTACACAGAGTTATCTAAATGCATCTAAAATACTCCAAGTTGCCAAAAAGTCAAACAGTCAAGCTATCCATCCAGGCTATGGTTTCTTATCTGAAAATGTTGAATTTTGTGAAAGATGCTCAAGAGAAGGTGTGATTTTCATTGGACCACCACCAACAGCCATTAGGGATATGGGAATAAAAAGGTGAAAATATGGGATTTTAAAGCTTTTTAATATTTATGTTAATTATTTTATGTTCTATTAAAGAGTAATTTGAGATATACACCCAGCATACAAATCTGATGCAAAATACAAAAGTAAATACCTATAACCAAAAAAAATGATACTATAGGTTAAGGGTAGGTGCAAATCTAATGGATGATCTGTAGAGCATTTCCCAGAAGTATTTGTTAGTCTGTAACAGATCATCCATTGAGTTTGCAAAGTTTTATAAAAGTTAAACATATTTAATACATTTGTCAGTTCTGATGTTCTGCAACGAACAATATGTGATGCATATTTTGTCATATATGCGACTCTGAGATGTTCTGAATTTTTTGTAGATTCAATAGCATGTTACTACAAAGCATCAACAATTGATTAAATATTAATTTTTATTAAATTTCTTACAGTACTTCAAAAGCTATAATGTCAGATGCCGGAGTCCCTATAGTCAAAGGTTACCATGGAGAAGATCAAAGCATTGAGAGATTACAAGCAGAAGCTCAAAGGATAGGCTTCCCACTAATGATTAAAGCAGTTCGTGGAGGTGGTGGCAAAGTATGTTATAGTTTGAGGCTATTTAATCTGAAAAATTTAAGTGTGCAAAATTATGAATATGCTTGAATATTATTACTTTTTATCCTGTACATTTATGGAATTCGGAATATATTATGCATATAAAAATATTACATTTTTTAGGGTATGAGGATAGCGATGACTGAAGCAGATTTTTTGCCCCAACTGGAGTCTGCTAAAAGGGAGTCATTAAAATCTTTTGGAGATGACAATATGTTATTAGAACAATATATAACAGATCCTAGACATGTAGAAGTGCAGGTAAGCTTTGGTTATCTAACATCCCATTATTTCTTATGCTTTATGTAATAAGCTATTAGTAAGAACTAGTCACACGGCATAGCATTGCTGCTGCAGCTTCAGTATAGTTACAGAAAACACATTGAGTTATTATTTAACTTTTTGCGTTCAAACAGTGGTGCAATAGCTCATGTATGTCAAATTTGCTGTTCTTAGCTCATTTATGTCTTTTTATAACCGATCGTTAGATGGCACCGTTTTTATTTTATTGACTTCTACTCTATGCATCTGCTTTGTGTCCATATCACAATGACGTTGTGAATATGACAAGCAGCATTTTCGCGGGTATAAAAAAAGTTTAAATTATAATTTAATTTTTTGAATTAAAATAAACAGTTACAAGTATTATTTCAAACAGAGTAAAATAGTCTATTTGACTCTCAAGCTTTTTTGCAATAATAACTTGAGACTCTTTTAAAATTCATAAGTTATAAAAAAATATATATATATGAAATCATTGTAACATAGTAGTTAAACCTACTGTAATTATATAATTTAATCCTGTAATGTATCATATTTTAGGTGTTTGCTGATATGCATGGCAATGTCGTACATTTATTTGAAAGAGATTGTTCAGTACAAAGACGTCATCAGAAAATAATAGAGGAAGCACCAGCTGTAAGTATGATCATTTTATATTTAAAACAAATTATATCACAAAGCAACAAAAATGAATTGCATTCAGGGAGGAGCATGTGGTCCGTGGAACTACTTGCGTATGCTGCTATTGGAAACCATATCACATAAAAAAAAAACTACATTTGCTTTATACATAAATAAAAGATATTCCCTGAAAAATTAATTATTAAACTTAGTCTATGGTCCTGGCTGCATCTATAATTGTTGACCCTGTAATTTAAATCAAACTGGGTGCACTTTAAACGCAATGTCTCATTCTTTCCATTTCAATCCATCCATAAGCAGTGCATATGTAGGCTGATAATACATTATTAATATTTAAAATAATTAGACTGTATCATAGCCAGGTCTATCAGAGGAAACTCGTCGTTCATTAGGCGAGGCTGCGGTCCGTGCCGCCCGCGCGGTCGGTTACGTGGGCGCGGGCACAGTAGAGTTCATCCTGCACCGTGTTACCCACGAGTTCCACTTCATGGAGATGAACACGCGGCTGCAGGTCGAACATCCCATCTCAGAAATGATCACCGGTGAGCATCTTCGTTAATATTTATTTCCGTGAGTGATTAAAATTAAAAATCAATGATATATGCGATTGGCTACTAGACTGTTTTGGGAAAAGTATTTTAAAACTCATATGTCTGTCATGTTAAATCTCTATCAGATTTATTTTTTCCAAAAAGTGGATATAGGAAAAACATATTTTTATACATTAATTTAAATTGTACCGCGAAAACAGGCACTTGACATTTTGAATCGTGACGTCAGATTTCAATAAGTACTGGTGGGCAACAAAGAGGTTGAAATTTAGTTAATTGATATAGGTATGACGTCACGATGCTCCGTCATAGCCGCCCACGTTTTGTTTATAAATTGCAAGTTAATATTGCAACAAAAAAAATCTGTTTACAATTTATTCATTTTTTAAATAGTTATTGTTTCCAACATATTTCATAATTTATTGATATAAATGTCAAGTAGTCAATTAATTTCTTTTATCGATTTTTATATACAGAGTTGTTTATAAGATACCAGCAATCTCGCAGAAACCTAAATAGCTCACATCATAAATAGTATAGAAAACGTTTATTTGGCATAAAATACAAAATATACTATTAACAAAAGGGGCCATCCATAAATTACGTCACACGTTGGGGGGGGGGTCGACAAACTGCAATATTTAGTAGAATTTGTATAGACAAACATGTGACAAGAAGTGGGGGGGGGGGGGGGGGTTAAAAATCATGAATTTTGTGTGACGTAATTTATGGACGTCCCCAAACACTTCTAATAAATTATACCAAATGGGCCTCTACTTGGTATTGAAGCAACATTTGCTAGGGCACTGATTTTCAGCAGATGTCCCTGAGACTTGACGCACAACTAGACATTTTAGGTTTAATTGATACAGCATGCAACACAATCATTACTTAGCGCTAATAAATTAATTACACCATTAGAATTTTTTAATTAAAATTACAAATAAAACAACATTTTAATGTAAAAAGTTCCTACGAATTTGTAATTATGGATATAATTAGAGATAGCATGGGGTTAGAAATGGTATCAGTCTGTGGCATTTCGGAGACAGCAATTATTGCACCAATAAATACTCTTGAACTTTAATTTAAAATCATATATAACAAGTCTTGTTCTATGATTTTTTCACACTACTTAGCTATAAATGTCAAAATACAAAAAAATAAGTTGGGGTAGACTACCCTGATCACTTAGGAGTATAAAAATGATAACAACCTATTCTCAAACCTACTGAATATACATATAAATTTCATCAAAATCTGGACTTCCATTTGAAATACTCTTTATTTATTATATTGATAATGTTGCTTAAATTACTTATGAAAAAATATTAATATTTTATACTCGTTGTCACATGACCGCAAATAGCGCCTTAATTTCAATTAATAGCAAATATATAATATAATCTAATATAATAAAGTTAAATTACTTAAAAAACCCGAAGAAAAGGGTTTTATTTGTTCACCATTTATTAAATCGAGTTCTCAAGCTTACTCAACCTTTTACTCATTGCCTAAGCATCGAACCTGTCACCAAGGGTTGTAGTTATATAATAATAATCGATTGGGCCATAAGACTATAATGAACCATAAGAGTTGTTTTGCTGTTCCACAGGGACGGATTTGGTAGAGTGGCAACTGCGTGTCGCTGCAGGTGAACCATTGCCTTTGACCCAAGAAGAGATTATCCGTCGTGGTCACGCAGTAGAATGTCGTATATATGCTGAAGAGCCGGGTGCGGGATTCCTGCCCCGTGCCGGTACGTTACATCGGTTAACGCAGCCTAAACCCGAAAATAATGTGCGAGTAAGTTAATTGTTATGTATAATTATGTAAATGTGCGAGTAAGTGTTAACTTGAGTAGTTGAATTTGATACCTTCACGCGTTCCTGAGCAAAAATTTGTCATCCCTATTTGATATGATATATATATATTTTTTTAATAAGGTGGAGACTGGCGTACGTGAGGGACAAGAAGTGTCAGTGCATTACGATCCTATGATCGCTAAGCTCGTGGTATGGGGACGCGACCGCACAGAGGCTTTAGATAAAACTAGAGCTAAACTGGCCGAGTACAAAGTAAGTTTTTAACATAATATAATGAAGCCAGCTGCTTCACACGCGTGGTTCTGCCGTTTTTGCGACGTTATTCATTCATGCTCTACTACTATTAGTCATAGCGTGATGTTATATAGCCTTCCTTAATAAAGGGAGTATTCAAGACAAAAATATTTTTTTAAATCCGAAGCAATAGTTACTGAGACTAGCACGTTCAACCAAACAAACTCCTCCATCATAATCTTCTGCCCTTTTACGTCCCCACTGCAAGGAGCTCAGGCCTTCCTTATGCATGGTTAAGGAGGATGGGCCGAGCGCCTCCACACTGGCCTCAATGTGGATCGTTAATAACCCATTAACGACTGCAGATGCAGCCGGGACCAACGGCTTAACGTGCCTTCCGAAGCACGGAGTTGCTCGAGATAATATTTTTTGGCCACCCAAACAATGGCTACACAAACTCTTTTTGTACTTTAGAACTTATTATTGAATGGGAATCATTTTTAAACTACTATCTAATATCGTGACCTACAAAAACCAACAATATTTTTAATAGCTTTTATAAAAAAAAATAATTTTATAAAAGAGTGAATCGGTTCCTTCTAGGCAAGCACGCTCCATCTTAGACCACTGCATTGCTTACCATCAGGTGATCTGTGGTCAAGTAGATAGGCAAGCGCCTATCTAGAATAAAAAAACTAAAACAAATAATTGATTTTTTTAATGTATTTATATTTTAATTTCACTTTTTATTCAATATGATTTCACAGTTAATGGTTTTGTTTGTATTTTTTTTTTATATTATTTTTAAAACGACAAAAATAAAAGTTTATTCAATTATTTCTGTATTAAATATTTTTTGCCAGTAACTTTTTTATATAATTATCATAATAATTATCCAAAAAAATATAATCTTGATAATAACGGACTCTTGATGATACTAGCTTACGAATCACCCGATTAGTTTAATTCCAAATAAACAATTTTTCTTTTATCCCTTGACACATTTGTGATCGGTCATATCACACAAATGCCTAGTGCAAGGCGCCTCATAACACATGTCGTAAATTAAGACATTACTTAATGTTAAGTGATTCCTAGTCATCGGTGAAATGCATCCATCTTAGGCGATCCCTAAATATTTAGGCGATTCTTAAGGTAAGTGAAAACAGGCAAATTTAATATTACAACCCGCTTTAATTCTGCAATTCTGTTAGGTAGCTGGTTTGGAGACCAACGTGAATTTTCTGCTGCGATTGAGCGGTGCTAAGGCGTTCGTAGAAGGGGACGTTCACACGGCGTTCATTCCTCAACACGAGGCGGAACTGTTCCCTCGTCTTGATAACGATACCGTTGAAGAAAAAGCAATACAAGCTGCATTAGGACACGTGAGTCGTTTATTGTAATTTTTTTTTTTTACAATTCATGTCTTTCATTGCAACTCGTTTAAATGATTAACTTCAGTTTGACTCTATTCGAGTTTTGTTGGATATCCATTATATCCATTATAAAAGCGATGATGCTTGTATAAAAAAAAAAGAAGTTCCATTTAGTCCTTCAGTCAGATAATAGAAAAATATTAGATACTAATTTTTTTTTTTTCTTTAACTAGACATGGCTTAGATAAATAGGTATTTAAAATGAGTGGGGGCTCTACGTCACAGTTTTGTAGAAAATTTTCACATGCGTCACGTCTTGCAACTTTTCATCTCGATGTAACGTCGTAATTTATTGATTACGCAAAAAATATAAAAACAAAAAATACACGTTAAATATTGTTCAATAATCTACTGACGGACAAACGCGCTTTCGCCAACGCCGGGTGCGAGTGAGACGGACACCTATTGCACTGTATTTAACGCTTTATGGGTATTATAACAAGACCGATTACTTATACATTTTAGTCATACGTTCGATCATCATCGAAATTGGTAGGTCGGATCTGTGCAAACGGAGATTTACGACGCGAGATCCAGCATTCGATTCTGGTTAATTTCACTTTGGTTATAAGTGTCTACAATTGCTCTTTGCAGATAATTTATTCTCAAAGACTGAGCAGATCTAATGACAGTTGGAAAGGAATCACCGTTGATTCTGCCGGATGGAGACCAAACTACCAACTGAAAAAGACGATACCAATAAAATACGAAGAAACAGGTATTTTATATATAAAGCATTTATACTCTGTGGTCTCATGGTATCGCTTCTAGGTTCCAATGATGGTAATCAGGCCGATAACATATTAATCTTAGTCGAAGGAGGCGGATGAAAATAATTTTCTGTACACGTCGCAAATGACTGATAAGTGACAGTAAAATCCTGACGATTTGTCGCATACTGGTATACCAAGGAATATATGTTTTTATAATTTGCCCGCCAAATGAGAATAGTACTGTTGAACGGCCATCTTGGTTCTTATAGCGCTTCAATTTCATGATGTAAACTCCGCAAAAAAGACTTTTTTTTTTATATAAATCAACGCATTATCTTAGTATGACTAACGGATATATGCACACTGTCATTTCAAATTGAACTCCAAGTCATAAAATGGTGTGGCGTTTACGATATCGGCATAGTTGGCATTAACATTACGGCAAAAATCGTCATGATATTTAGAAGGTAATAAAGAATAGACCAAGAGACCAATTTAGAAAATATATTTTATTAATTCTTAATAAAGTTAAGTAAATACTAATAATAAATTAAAGAAAAAGTACGTATCGTGCCAACTAGTCAAGATCATAGCCGTAGGGAACAAGGGAAATTACTCCAGCGACAAGAGACTCTTAAATATGTATCGAATTAAACGAATCCAAAAAATATTTAGCAAACTTTATTTTCTTTGTCGTCAGTACTAAAATGACAGCTAAGCATATTAGACTTAAAATTTGTTAGCTGAGCCTAATAATTATTGTCCGTTTAATTCTCACAGAGTTAAAAGTGACCGTGGAGTATGGCAACACTCCTACCACATACAGAGTGCGAACTAACGAAGGCGAATGGAAACATGTGGAGGCATCGCTGCAAGATTCCGATTTAGGCTTACGATTGATCACCACTATTGGTGATAAGAGAAGCAACGTAGGCTTGCTGACGTACGACGACCAGATACACGTTTACGATGAAGTGAGTTAAATATAGAGGTACTAATATAACTAAAAGACTAAATGTAAGCCATTCTGATTGGTGATTTTTTTATGCTCGTTTTATTTTAAAATTATTATGTTATCAGATATAGTTTTTTATTCTTTTATTTAAATACTAGCTGTTTTCAGACAGCTTCGACCGCCTAAATTATAGCCTTTGTCATCCTTATGTAACCACTCTTTGAAATGGATCGGGATAGATTATTATATTAGACAATATGCTAGTTGACAACTTTTTTATTTTATTAATAAATAGTCCATTCATATCAGAGGAAATGTAGAGGTAACAGCATATCTGCGATTAATAGTTTCGGAGATACGGTACTATGTTTGAGGAACTGTTGCTAGTCGGCCGAAAACGCTCCCTACAAAGTCGAGCCATTAAGTGACGTCACGCGGTGCTACGGCAACCAAACACATAAGGGCAATCTTTGTAATTTTTGTAAAATATTTCCTCTACATTTTTCAAGTTTTTATATCATAAATAAGAATGCTTAAAATGGTTCGTATTTTCCGAACATATAACAGACAACACCTGTATTTTTTACTGTAGGACACAACCCTATTAGTATCATATCATAACTTGTGGCATGATAAGTCGTCTTAGATGTCATGACTACGAGATGTAAAAAGAATCATATTCAAAGCTTAAATATACAGTAGAAGAGGCTCGCGTTTATTACCTTGCACACAAAATCCATTGACAATACTGCTACGAACTGTGGTGATTTGGAGATTGTTTCCATATTTATTCAAAAGGATTGATATTATTATTGCTATACAGTTGACTTTCCCTGTTCGTTCAACAGAATGGACAGACGATATTGGAGCTGCCAAAACCAAGGTACCAAAGTGCGACTAGTGCCAACACGGCAGCAGTAGCAGACAGCGCTAGCTCGCCCACCGCTGGTATACTGGAGAGGGTGATGGTAAATAAGGGCGATAAGGCGAGTACAGTCAACAGCATGTTAACTTAAACAAAAATATCAAATGTCTGTACTCTAAGTTAAAATTCAAAACTGTCAAATTCCTACACTCTATTTTAAACTTTATTAAATTGAAGGTAGAATACATAATAAATTATCGATCTTTGATAAATTGTGATGGTGGCAGCCGTGTGTTTAATTAAAAATAAATCATCTTATCCAAACTGTCAAATTTGTCGAGTCCCATCTCAGAGTATCTAGGGACGGTGGATTTTTAAAGAATATTTTCCAAGACAGACAAAATTAATAAAATATCATACACTATTTATAATTTTTTAATTATATATTAGACAATATCACACAAGTTGTTCAGATTCCAAGATGAGTAGCTTAAAGCCCAAATTCATTTTCCAAATTAACATTGTCAAAGCAAACCTGCACTTCAAAGATGGCGACACCTTGAAACTGGCGTGCGAACCATTCGGCTACGGCTTCAGTCATCAATCGTTTCTTTAAATCAAATGGTTACATTTCTGTTTATCCTCAGGTGGAGAAAGGCCAGCCTCTATTCGTGGTAATAGCAATGAAGATGGAGTACGTCGTGCGCTCACCGCGAGATGGCGTTGTAGCAAGTTTGGCTCCTGTGAAATTAGGCGACGCCATTGGCAAAGGAATGAATATTGTACTTTTGGAGGGACAATAATAAAAATTGTAGAAAATCAATTATTTTAGTAGGTGGCCATTCTCAGTAACATATTAAGAGTGAAGGAAAAATCGGTAGGCTGGAAGTATCTTTTTACTAATTGTAAGAAAATATGTAATAGGTTTTAATCCCAACGAAAAGTGGAAATACAAGATGCACGTTTAAAATTTTTGGGTTTTTTTTTAGGTTTTGAGGCGGGTTAATATTTGATTTTGTGTCTAAGTGAAAAACTTATGCTTACCTTGACCTTTAGATTCTGATGAATTCAGTGGTTCTAGTTTAATTTGTATTTCAAGCAATTAAATATTTCAAGTAAGAGGCAAACTGAAGATTTGTCCCATTGCATAGAAAAGTGTTAGAACTATTAATAATTATTATAATATGGCGATAATAGAAATCTGTGAGATGAGTATGATTTTAAAACTGGAAATTTAAAGACTAACAGCATTTTAATATTAATAATGAATCTATGTGCAATACTTTTAGTAGAGTATTTATTATGCCGATTTTATAATATAAAATACTTAGTTCCTAAATGATGGTTACAGTCAGATTGTAAATAGTTTATACATTGTAATAATTAACAACGGACCAAATCTTATAAGACTTATTGAGTTGTACAAAATGTTATATTTAGTAAGATTAAGCTTGTTATCTTTTTATTTAAAAAGATTGTAAAAAAGCATACTTATATATATTTGTTTTTTTTATTATTATTATTATCTGTTGTGAAAGGTGAGAAATAAAATATTTTATTAATTATATTTTATTTAAAATATTCCCTTATATAGTGTGTTACATATTAAAGCATTTCGTAATACGTCAAAAATTGGCGCCGTTTTTTAATAAATGTCGTAATGTCATTGGCAGAATTGTGCCAAATGCGCAGATAAGCCGTTAAAAGAAGAAGGACATATAACACTTTATTATGTTTGATTTTGATTAAAAAGCTCATTCGCTAGCGCAAGACTGTCAAACAAAGATATTGAGAAAAAGATCTATAAAGGCCGATCGCAAAAGACAGATTTGCTAGATAAAACAGTAAATGCAAAAATATCCACCTCACCCACGTCGAGTGTAAATGAGACTTATTTACACCTTATCTTTATTGGTAATTAGCTGTTTACCGCGATGTCGCCTGCGTAAATTGTAGCTTAGCCCAAATATAATGCTACTCTTTGATGCCTACGTCATATAGATTCACGTAGGTGAAATAATTATTAAAATGCGTCTATTGTTCCAGAGCCTATTAAATGGAAATAAAAAGTTAAATCCTTCAATTTTTATATTTATTATAGCTATTTCTTCATCATATACATTTGATGTCCACTTTAATTCCCTGAACAACATGCGAAATATCGTCACATTGTCTCATTCTAAACAAAAAAGATAAGATATTTATTATTAATATTGTACTATCACTGTAAAAAGACCTAACATAGTCTTAAATTGTTTTGTGGAATTTTCTGATCAAGAATTGTTATTTTTATCAAACGCATGGTAGTATGCGTAATGTTATTTTTCTACTTTCGTAAAAAGGTATCAAAAACCTTTTGTAGCATTTTTGTGTTCTCGGTCTTAGTAAAGATTAATTGAAAAAGTTGTTGGATCCCCAATGTCATATACTTTGTAAAAAAAAAAGTAATATTCCATGCGATTGTTTGATACATTTCTTTTTGTGAGCTAAATCTAGTTATTATGGTATGTAATAATGTATTAAACGTTGGTATGTCAAAATAAATAAATAAAAAATCATCACCAGCCCTTTTACGTCCCCACTGCAGGGGCTCAGGCCTTCCTTATGGATGGTTAAGAGGGATGGGCCATGACCGTCCACGCTGGCCCAATGCGGATTGGAGGTTAATCTATTTCTTGGACCATCTTATTCGTCTATGCATACTATCATTAAGGAGATATTTTAATGTTTGGTTTGATTTCTACCCCAAAATACTATAAAAGTATTTCTTAATTAAATAATTAGTTTTAATGAGCCGCGGCGCAGTTGATTGGCCTTTCAAGAAATTCTCTCAAGGACCCACAATGACTGGCGCTGAGCCAGCTCTGGCACAAAGAAATTAATATTTTGAGGAATTGCAACAAAGGAAGCGTTGTTTCTAAATGTTTGATTGTTTTAAAATGATATGACATTGGTCTTTTGTCAGTAAGTAGATATTTTTAAGAAACACAATTAGATATACTAATGAAGAACTAGTAAATTAATACAACATTAAAAGGGCGCGTCCACAATACATTTAGAGCATCCGACGAATTTGCCACTGATCCAGAACAGTATAGTTACGTCCTGCTTAAAAAAGAAGTTTAGTCAGTTTTTTTAATAAATTGAACTCTGACTACACATACTTTAATATTTACTTTATCATCTTAGAAGTAGATTAACATTATAAAGCTATGATTTTAGCTTATTTAGATCACTCAAATAACAATGGATCCGATTATTGAGATGATTGGATTGCGCGGAGTTGTGAAAGCAAAATGTAATTTGTTTTGCTGGTAAGTACCTTCCTACTCCCACCATAGACGCTAGAAGGTTAAGCTCGTCACGGCCCATAACCCAATCGATCTTTACAGTTTTGAAGATATTTTTCCAAGGCTCTTCACAAAATTATAGCTGTGACAACAGTATGATAAATTAATTACTTAGCTATCAAATTTTGTAGATGTAGGCATTATTACTTAATGTCGGTATGTATAAATAAACGATAAACATTAATTATATTACCGTAGGATAGCGAAACGATAAAAGAGCGCCCTTGTGTAAATCGTATTAGACGGAAGCGTGTAATAATAATAACGTTCTCTTTTCATTAGAACCTTGCAGTCGTAGATAACCATGATAATAATGGCATCACTTTGGCGCTTGTGAAAGTATAATTTCGTGTTTTGATTACGTAATCGACTATACAATTCAGTTTCAAATATAATAGATATTTTCGACATTTCATTTGCCGGGGGCGTAGCTCAGATGGTAGAGCGCTCGCTTAGCATGCGAGAGGTACCGGGATCGATACCCGGCGCCTCCAAAGTTTTTGTTTGTTTTTTTAGGAATTTTAATTTCATTTTGGTGTAGGGAAGGATAAAGTTAAAATAATGTTTAAAGTCACTACTAAGTAT